CCATGCGGATTGGAGGGATTTAGCCCCTCCGGGCACCAACCAAAAGGCGGCCCCTCCTCCCGCACGTGGCCATCCGATGCAGTGTGTCCCCTTCACCTTTTCCCGGCTGGAAATGGCAGTGTCCTGTGCCCCGAGCCAATCAGTTTAGGTGGGTGTTAAATTCCTTGTTGATGTTATTAAATGAGTGTGTCTTTTATTTGAAACAGAAGGTCAGCAATGCTGATGATAAAAACTAAGAGCAGTGGAAACAAAAGAAACAAGAAGGCGGCAGAAGGCAACTTAATCTGAATTAGCCCTATCCGATCAAACACTCCAACCCCGGAGGAAGCGCACTGTTGGAGGAACTAAGGATAATCCAGCCTGACCTTCAGTTGCAGGACCAGAACTGTGGTGCAGAGAAAACTGCACCCGATTTAGGAGACCCCAGGGTCTAGGTCTGGGACCAAATTAAGTTACTATAGTGAGCAAGTTATTTTGCCTTTTTTGACACTGTTAGTGTTTTAAACACCTTTGTACAGTTTACTTGGCACTATAAACGTGAATTCTGAAGTGTATAAACTGCTTTCTTCCAAAAACGCCAAACTTATTGAGATTAGTTTCCTTTCTGGGATATTTGAATATAAATCCCTAGGGCACTTGCAGCTTAAAAATCCGATAATTTCTCTAAAATTGAATTTTTAAAATTTATTTTTATTGATTTCAGAGAGGAAGGGAGAAGAGGAGAGAGAGAAACATCAACTATGAGAGAGAATCATTGATCAGCTGCCTCCTGCATGCCCCCTACTGGGGATCCAGCCAGCAGGCCCCAGGCATGTGCCCAGAATGGGAATGGAACTGTGACCTCCTGGTTCATAGGTCCATGCTCCACTGCGCCACACTCACTGGGCTAGAATGGAACTTATTAAAATTACCAGCCCACTCCTGTGACCTAGTATCTTGGTAGTAGAGCCTGGTCTGCCTGTTCTAACCCTCCCCTTTTGAAAATGCCTAAAGTGTTCTCTATGTGAAAATAATAGCAACTGGGTTTTTTGGTACAAACTACAGAAATAAATACTTTGTCTTTTTTCCATGCTTGTAATGTCATTTATGTAATGATTTTCATCACTCTTTGAAGTATGAGAATCAAGTTTTTAAACAGAAGTGAAGAAGACACATATAGATATAGATATATAGAGGTGGGGAAAAGTAGGTTTACAATTAATAAATAATACAAGAATAAACTAACGTCCTCACAACTATAAACCTACTTTTGCCCACCCCGTAAATACATTGTGTGTATGTGTCTAAATATATCAGAGATACCAGTGAAATATATATCTCTAAGTACATATTTATATACATACATACACACACACACACACACATATGTACATCTGTGTATGAGCTTACTGAAACCAACATTTACTTGTTAAGCAGAGAAATGTTAGAAAGGCCAAAGTGGTTAGCAGCATGACAAGTTCCAATTCAAGAAGGTATTTAGTGATTTGATTTGATTTGATTTACCTTTTACTAAATGAGGCCTTGATTGTAAAACTCTAGCCCAGCAGTAAATTGTTACCAATATCCTAAGAACCTACTGCTACTAGAGAAAATTATAAACACCGATTTTAAAAAAGGAGTAAAGGACTTTTGCAAGTCTCCAGGGAACTAACAGCTGATAAGTGAGAGTTTCACAGTCATCTTCACACATACATTTATGAAGCAAATCCCATTCAGCAGTTAAAACTAATAAATGGAAAGATTTAACAATAAAACCCAATGACTCCTGACTATATTCAGATTTATATTATGCTTTATCACATCCAAACTTGGCTGTATGTTTTGTCACTTTTACCCAGATGGTAATTACACCTTAAACGTGCTCTACATTTATTCCTAACTAGGAACAAAAAACCCTTATAGTGCCAGGTTTCCTGCATTCACACCATTCAGAACAGTTGAAATGTTACATTTCTTTAATTTATGCTCATTCCTAACAAGACTGTAAATGTCATGGGGGCATGGAAAGAGTGTGTTTTTTCAATCACCACTGCAGTGCTTGGCACACAGTAGCCTGCAGGTAAGTATTTATTGAGTAAATGAGTGGTGAGAAGACCACTTACAGGCTGAATGTCAGATGTAAGGGATAAAAATTGGATTTGTAGTGGTCATTCATTCAGTGTGTTTTGTGTTAGTGCCAGGCACAACATATTAGCGTACACTAAGCTACACAGAGGGAGCAAACCCCTAAACATCAGGGCTGAGATGCCACAGAAGCACATTGCAAAATCCTTTGGTACACCCTCTCCTCTCTTGTTAAGGGCCAGTAGAATACACTTGGTTTAATTTATGTCAGCTGGACTCAGGGGGCCAGCAGAGCCACTCCCTGAGGGCGGGACCAGTCAAAAGATTGGACGCCACCCAGTTTGGCTCTCCCTCCCAGTGTCAAGGGGATGGATCTCATGATGTCAAAGGCCTACCCAGATGTGATGTAACTTCCTGTAACTCAAGTATATAATAAAGCAGCTTTTGGAGCTGGCTCTCTCTGTGTGCTCTGTCCCTTCAGAGGGCAGGCTCTCTCTGCCTGTCCCTCTGGAGGGCAGGCACCACACCCAGCCCAAGCTTTGAATCTATTTTATGTCTGTCTTTCATTATTTCTTCAATCCCGAAAGCGCCTCCTAGATTGCATGAACCGGTTCAAGTCTCCTTCACCGTGCAGGACTCGGGAAGAAGACAGCCCCAGGAAACGGCTCAGTATACTCTCTCTCTGGTTCCCCACTTGAGAGGCAATCCTGGGTGGCTCTTCTCCAAGTGCTGACTCAGGAACCCACATTCTTATCTGGTACCTAAGTAGGCCCCTGGACCTCTGGTCCTTCACTAGATCCTGCGCACCTGGCTGGCCAAAGAAACAAGGCCAAACCTGGAAGGGTTTGCATTCCTCCTTCTCACTATGCACTCACATGGTCTACCAGTGGTCAGCAAACTGCGGCTCGCGAGCCACATGCGGCTCTTTGGCCCCTTGAGTGTGGCTCTTCCACAAAATACCGACTTCTGCGCATGAGCCACGAAGTTTCAATCACACTGTACATGCGTGCCCGCACGTGGTATTTTGTGGAAGAGCCACACTCAAGGGGCCACAGAGCCTCATGTGGCTCGCGAGCCGCAGTTTGCCGACCACTGGGCCTCTAACCTAACTGCCAAGGGGTCAGGAAATGTGGTTTTATGAGTGCTTCCCAGGAAGTAAAGGAAAGAATTTTGGCAAGCACAGGGCAATCATGCCTTTTGCAACACACAAGAGCTGTTCTCTGACGGTCAAATACCTAAGGTAAATATTAAATCTTAGTAAAATATTTCACAATAAAAATTGTTACATGAAAAATTTATAAGAGTTACTAAGCCATCAAAACATAGTTTTTTAAAAAATTTGTCTGAGAGTGGAACAGCTAAATTCTATTTGCTTTAAATTGTGTTTCTAGCAACACCATCTAACACAGCAGTTCTCAACCTGTGGGTTGCGACCCTTTTGGCGGTCAAACGACCCTTTCACAGGGGTCACCTAAGACCATCCTGCATATCAGATATTTACATTATGATTCATAACAGTAGCAACATTACAGTTACGAAGTAACAATGAAAATAATTTTATGGTTGGGTCACAACATGAGGAACTGTATTTAAAGGGCCAGAAGGTTGAGAACCACTGATCTAACACAACTCTTAATTCAGACATTTAGGTCAGTGATCCTCAAAGTATGGCCCAAATCATCAGGATCTGCATTGCCAAGGAACTTGTCAGAAAGGCAGATTTTTCCGGCCCCACCCCACACCTACTGAATCAATGGTTCTTGAACAAGCCCTCTGAGAGATTCTGATCCATGCTAATGTTTGAGAATCACTGCTGTATGTAATCACTGATTAGTTTCAAAACAGAATATCATGTTAAGGCATGATCATCATTTTGATTAAATGCCCTCTTCATGTGGATGGCCCATCACCCCACTCCCAGCCCGTTGTCACAGAATGGCTTCAGTTTTCCCACTAGGTGCTGTGTTAATACTGCCTTTACAGCACTGATCATATTATTATTATTATTATTATTATTGATCTTGATTGTCACTAAGCAATGTGGTTCATGATAGGCCTCACATCTGTACGCGGGGCTAGCCCTAACCAGTGGATAGAGCCTCAGCCCAAGGACTGAAGGGTCCCAGGTTCAATTCTGATGAAGGGCACGGCACGTACCTGGTTGCAGGCTCAATCCCTGGCCCCCACCAAGGGCAAGTGTGGGAGGCAACCATTCAATGTGTCTCTCTTACATCAATGTTTCTCTCTCTATCTCTCCCCCTCCTTGCCACCCTATCTAAAAAAGGGGGTGGATATCTTCAGGTGAGGATTAACCAAAAAAAGAAGACGACGACTAGGGGGCTAATGTAGGGCAGGTTCAAAAGCTATTAAGAGAGCAGCCTTGCCCAGCCAGCGTGGTTCAGTGGTTGAGCGTCGGTTGACCTATGAACCAGGAGGTCATGGTTCAATTCCAGGTCAGGGCACATGCCCG